CATAGATTAATGTTAGACGTTAAATTTCATAGGACCTTGGAAGTCTGGGATCAACTACAGTTTTTATTTCTTTAACTGGTAAAGTAGTCTGCATATTATTTCAACAGCAACCATAATCAGCTACTTTTAAATTGTCACTAATTCTGAATTAATAGTTCATCTAAAATCGGCAGGAATTCTTTACACTGGCCACAATAAAGACAATGACAGCAAAAATGAATGTGTAAACTCTAAAGATAAATATTCTATGTATGAAAAACAAATATTTAGAAGTATTTAGCTTATGAAATTATATATGTATGAACAGAATAAAATTATAAAAGTGAAAAAATATTTACAAAGGCCTAGTAAAAAATTACAGGCATCCATGTGGAAGGAGTCTACGTGCTGAATAGCATCATGCATACAAACACACACTTCTGAATCTTCTGTGACCCCTCCATTACCAACCCGTCTTTTGTGTGCCAGGTTTTCAAGCATTCTCTGAAGAGTTTCAACAGGCCATGCCCCCTGGTGGAAATGCCTGCAAGCCTTTTTAAGGAGTGCCCAGCTCTGGAGTCCTGCTACAAAATGGCAATGCATGTGTGCTTGTTGTTACTCCCCTTCTGAACGTAACAAAACATGATTTTTTTTTAAAGGTAAAAACACATAAAGATGTTAGAAGAACCAGACAGAAAGGGACTAACACATGAATTCTGGACAAATGATAACTTCAGGAGAGAAAGCTGAGCTGACACCTACACAGGCCAAGGAAGACAAAACAAGTCACTGTGGGTTATGGACCAGGAAGGAACAGTAAATAAAACCAAGATCTAGAAGGCAGTTTTAAAGGAACATGAGGTCCAAAATCCTAGACTCTACAAACACACATGTGACTCCACCCCTCAGGAAAAGAGTGCCTGCTTACAGTGGTGTGCAGGGCTCTTGGGGCAGGAGCATCCGAAATGTTACATCATTTGGGAAAAGAACAGACCGGGAAACAGCTTAGTGAAAACAATTAGGCAGACTCTCCTTTGAGGCCCTCTCTTGTAGGGTACTGATTAACACAAAAGCTGTTACTTGAAGACTGTTCTAGAGAAAAGTCAATCAAAGCTCTGACACACACAGGGAATGTTTGGCAAAGGGGGTGGTGTGTGTGTGTGTGTGTGTGTGTGTGTGTGTGTGTGTGTAAACCCCTGTGTCCATGTCACTGCAAGTGTGGACAGATGTACATGGACGCCCACAGTCTATGATAGGTGTCTTTCCTCCACTGCTCTCCACCTTTACTTTTTTAACCAGGGTCTCTTACCAAACCTGAAACTTCTAAGAGTCAGCTAAATTGGCTACTAATGAACTTTAACGAGCCATCTGTCTCCACCAAACCCTTCCCTCCAGTGAAGGGGTTACAAGAATGTACCACAACCCCTGCATTTTTATGCAAGTTCTAGAGATCTGAACTCAAATCCTCTTATAAACTGAGCATTATCCCCAGCCCAAGCCGTCTTAACAGTGTTTAACTCTGAATTGTAAATGGTTAGCCAAAAATCAACACCCAGTAGAAAACATTTTTCAGTATTACTGAAGGAGTAATTACTGAAGGGGAAAAAAAAAAAATGAAGGAAAAAACAAAGAACAAAAATCTTTTTAAAGATAATCTTTTGGGGGTGGGTGTTAAGCACAGTGATGCATGCCTTTTGCCCCAGAACTCAGAGGCCAGTGGTTCTCTGTGAGTTCAAGGCCAGCCTATTCTACACATGAGTGAGTTCTAGGACAGCCAGGGTTACACAGACAGTCTCAAGAAAAGAAAAGGAAAAAAAAAAAAAAAAAAAAAAAAAAAAAAAAAAACTACCCATGAAACAAGAACAGGATGATAGGATGATATAACAAAAGAACATTCAAAGAACAGGGGCAGGGAGAGGCAACCTCTTTGAAAATGAGAAATGACACATTTCAAAGATCAAGTAAAAACTAGTACCACGAAAAAATAAAAATCCTTTAAGCGTTTCTGTTGGCAGAGCTGGAGAGATGGGCTGGTTAAAAGTACTTGCTGCTCTTCCAGAGTACCTGAGTTGGTTCCAGCACCCACATGGGGCAGCCTAAACCTTCTGTAACTCTAGCTCCAGGTGAATCAGATGCATTTGAGGGCACCTGCTCTTATGTATATGCCCTCATGCAGACACACACATCTACATATAACTAAAAATAATAAAAAGAAACAAGTTTCTATTGGCAATAATAGAGAGAATGCACAAACAAAACCAAATATTAAGTAACCCAAAAGAGGACAGGAAACAAAGAGGAAAAAACAAAAAGCAAAGAGAAAAAAAAATGCTAAGCCTTAATTCCAAATAGATTAATAATTACATTAAATGCAAACAGTCCAAATACACTGAGAGAAAATGTCAGAATGGGTTAAAAAGGGAAGTGCTACGCTGTGTACAAGAAATGCATTTTATTATGCTATAATTAGCATAGATGTTAGAAACTGGAAAACCCACACCCAACAAACATTAAACAAGAA